CTAAAACTTGTAGCATATTCATCACCACAAAGCCAAAAACATGCCCATACCAGCAGTCCTAGTGATTTCAGAAACTCTTAAGGGACTGTGTATATCTCAAATGTAATTTCTAGTCATGTAAATATCATAGAAAAGGAAGAAATATAAAACCAAATCCCACCCTCAGAAAAAAAAGGCAGAGTCCAAAAATTAGGTTAGAGTGGTGTTTTTGTCCTCATCCCACGGATGAGATATGGAGCACTTCTTACATACGGCTTTCTAAAAAGGTACTGAAGCAAGACACTGAAGCGTGGGACTTTAAGGCAAAATGAAATGTAAAGCAATCGGTGTCAGGCGCTGTCCTGATAATGTATTTCCCAGAGCAGGTGTAGATTTTTAAACAATGTCATGTAGTTTATCAGATATGTGGTAGACACTGTCAGCTTCTGCAATGTAACTCTCCCTCTATTCTCAGTTTCCTGACTACGTAGACAGAGGCAGGTAGGTTTCTTCTGATGTAACCAGAGAGAACTTAAAATTCATGTACTTATGCAAGAGGCATGCAAAGAGGAATTTTGAGAGAATACACAGGTATTTCTGTGTCCCAAATGAAACATTTTGTTAGACAGTATTTCAAGGCCAAGGATGTTCTGCTTTTCGCAAATGAAGTTCCTTAAAGGTTTCTCAAGAAGGCACATCAGATTAGTCATTGCTTTTCAAAGTCTTCATTTCAATAATTGCATTCACTGTAACAATATCATTTCCAGTGGTTGGTCCTGATGTATTTTCATATCACCATGATAATCATCTTTGTCTGTATTTTACTCAAGTATCAATTACAAATGCTGACTTGGCTATTGATAGCTGCCCTTTTGGTAGACGCAGGTGAAGTCACAGGATGCTCACCATCTGTACTCAGATAAAACAGATTCAGCAATGGCTTAGACCCTGCAGGGCTTGACTAGACTGTGCACTGACCTTGCCTGCAGAAGAAAACGTCTGTGGGAGCGGCACATGAATTGCATGGTTAGTATGATGAAATGATGAAAACATGGACCTCTAGTTCCCATGCAGAGTGTACAAACGAACACTTGGGGTTGGAGTACCTTTACTTAGCACACACAAGCGTGAGTCAGGAAAAAAAAATAACTGGCTAAAGTGGGCAAACACTTGTGGATGACCAGTCAGTAATGGTACTCATCTCTTCATTTGAATAAAGAAGATAAAACCAAATGGCCATGCAGAACATATGAGGGCACTTTTCCTTAGAATGGGAAGGAAAGAGATAAGTCTGACATCTTGCAAAACTGACTACACTGTGCAATAGGTCCATTTTTAGCAAGAGATTTTAGAAATTAAAACCCCCAAACTCATATCAACACCATAAAAGTAGGAGACCATGAAGCAGGAGACACAAACAGAAGTGATAATAGTAAGAAAATATCTCTTAATGGAAAGAACCTATCTTTCATAAGGAAGCACCTTTCCTAAGGAAGACAACTGAGCAAGCTGCACCATTCTTGGTATGCACTGCAGAAAACAAAACATTGCCAACAAACTCCCAGCCCTACACTATTTATATAGGTATAGACTGAATGTGCCAACTTTTCTTAACTTTTCTAAAACTTCCCATTCAGACTTCTTTCAACTTTAGCACTAGAACAAAAAACTATTCATTGTTAGAGTGCCATCTTCAGCATTTAATGTAAAAATAAGAAAACTTTCTATCAATAAAAATGGAGAAATATATTATGATTTTTTATATTTAGAAAAGCCATCTCCTTTCCTAACAGCACTGGAGTGATGAGTAGGAGTTCTTCATACCTAGTATGAAGTGTATACTAGCAGAATATGTTATCAGTATAAAAACATAGAATATTTCAAGTCTGGTAAAAATATCCTTCAAGATATGCCTTCCAGATAAGCTCTCAAGAGACAAGAATGGCACTGGAATTTCTTAATGAGACTCAAACGCTGATGCTGCTTTACTGGATAAACACTTAAATGATCTGATCAAAGATGTTACTTGAAGAAAAAAAATCTTGGTGAAGATGCATTGCAAACGGAAATTAGAGAGTAATCTGTTTCTCTGGGTTGACTACAAAGAAAAGCAAAGCTGCAATCACTTGCAGTCTGTCAAGAGAGCTCTTAGAACTATTGTATGGTTCAAATTTTTTGATTTGCTGTTCAAGAAGCCTGAGGAGACACACTTGCCTTTCATTCAAAGAGTGAAAACAGCCCTAATCTGCTGAAATCAGTGTGGTAGGTATTTATAAATACTGAAGAATACCCAGTCTAGCCAGATACATTTTGCATTTTCCCCATCATTTACACCATAGATCTGCTTGGCTTGGTGGGTTGTTTTTTTGTTTGGTTGGTTGGTTCGTTTTGGTTTTGTTTGGGTGTTTTTGGGGGGAACTTTTTTTGCCTGTTACTCCTCATGATATTCAAAGTATTTTACAAGAAAAGTATGTTGGGATGCATTTTGAACACACGTGAGCAGAGACAGATAAATGCAATAATTTGCCCCGGGGTCAGTGAGTGCATTAGTGGGCAGGGGCACAAAACGTCCCCGCAGCTCCTCAGCTTTCAGTTCTGCACTCCCAATGAAAGGATTGTCATTCCAAATTGAAAAGCCAAGTAAGGAAATCTAAAGGCACAGCGTGCTTGTTCTTCAAAAATTAGTGGATTAGGAACTTTACTGTAGCCTCTGGACATCTAAACCAAAGGCTATTGACATGTATTTACTTGTACAACTCCAGTCTGGGAGGCAAAAAGAAGCAGTGAAATAGTTTTACCTCAGAATGGAGAAAGTACAATGACTATCACTAAATCAGCGTCTGCCTTCATTTACAGTGGTACAAAGCTCAAATAGTCAGATCACTGGATAATGATAATTACTCTGTTTATGAAGGAATGGTTTTGCAGCATTATTCTATTATTGCAGGAATGTGGCAGAATCTGCATCAACATTTATCTAATACATGATACAATAAAAGTCTTTTGCAGATCTTCACTTTCCCTAAATCATTTATCTGTGTTTCACAATACATTACATGCATGAAACTAGTCTATCACATATGGTATTTAGTAATGCAAAGGAACTATTCTGTCGTAGTTCTTCAGCTGATTTTAAGAAGTAATATGCGTTTGGCAATAACACATTCAGAGGAAAATCCATGACAATATAAACAGACAGCAGTTTACTATAAAGCACTGCAAAACCATGAAAGTAACTAAGCACTGCTGTAAAGTGCACTGACACATCTTGTTTAAATATTGGTTGATTAACTGAAGGAAATAAGTTTCCACTGAATATTATTAGTTCAATTTTAGTACCAAAAATACTAGGTGATAGGCTTCTTATTAGCTTTATCCCAAATTACAAAGTGAAGCTGGGTTTTTCCTATCAGATATGGGCATGTGTATATCCTGTGCATGCAATGTTAATACAAAAAACTTGAGAAGAAATAAAAGGAAGAAAGCACAGAAGGGAAGAAAGCACAGAAGGGAAGAAAGCTTCTGTAATCAGAGAAGAAAACACAAAACCTCCCCAACCCATCTCTGTCCTCACTCTTACCTTGCATTGGGTACAAGCAATTCCAACTTTAATGGTCCTGCTATGTTCTTTCCCCTAACTTATCCCTTAATGTTCAGCTCTCTTTCAGAGTTTTTATAGTCTCTGCTGTAGGCTACACACTCCAATCCCTGCCTTTGCTTTCTCTTACATCATTTCTAAAGATTTTCCACTGATCCTTGCCCTAAACCTTTCTCTGTCCTGCACTCTCACACACATATTTGCCTCACATTTGCAATACTTATTGCTCTGATCAAGATGATTAGGTTATAATTAAAGGTTTAGGCTGGGATTTTTTTTTTATTATTATTTTTCTTTCAAGATTCAGAAAGCCATGGGAGTGCAAAGATTTTCAGCAGCATCACCATTCCTCTAACCTCTCTCTTCTGCAAACTACAGTACAGAAACCTGATGTCCTGAATTTTTTTTTTTTTTTTAAACTTTATTTCTCAGAGATGACAGGAATAACTTTGGAAGGACTTCATTAACTTCAAGAAGAAATTAATTAATGCATTTTTAGTGTACTAACACTACTGTAAGATAAGCACTAGAAAAGGAGTGTGTTTTGTGAAGCTAGTTACAAGAACTTAAGTTATTCAGAAATGTCATTTCAGTTACTGACATGACCATAAAGTGTGAGCTATGAAGCTGTCTGTCTTCCCTAGGCAGTGACAGAGGACCTATTTCATTCCCTGTTTGCCTCACTGGAATAAGTCTATCTTCTATTTTGCCCCCTTTTTCTTTAATCTCAGTTTTTAATTGATCCACACAGCAATAGTAAACCCATTTTTGGGTCTAAAATTCCAACCTTTGCAGACTTCCTAAGAGTTAATTCATAGTGACCTTATTCTCTAAACAGATAGGCACAGTACTTTCAAAAACAGTTTTACCTTGACTTCCCAAAAACTCTTCCTACAAACGATGACAGTAAAAGGAGATTTCAATTGCAGCTTTGCAATAGGTGGGAAAAATGTGCCAGCCAGGGGGCAAAAGCTTTACTTTCATCATCTGTCTTGATCAGAGCGACTAGAGAAAGACAAGAACTTAATCATATTGTAGCACAGCTCATTTCCCAAATGGACATCACCACAGAATTTTACAGAGCTGCCACGAAGTGCCAAATCAGTTCATTGCAAAGCATGGTTTTGCCACACACCCTGACTGAGGCATGGCGGGGGGGGAACAAGTCAGTGGAGAATGGGAGGCTGGTTTTCATCAGGAGCAGAAGATGACTGCACAGCCCCAGAAAACAAGGAGAGGCAAAGCAGGTATTTCTGTAGCACCCCAGCACAGGCAGATCTGGGAGTATTGCCTGGTGTAGTGCTGCAGAAACATGGATTGATCACATGAGGACCCACACCGAGGTCAGGCTGGAGCAGGCAGGTTGGGACTGCTCCACTTCAGGGCATAACAGAACAGGGATGGCAGCTGCAGAGGTCACAGAATCACGGGCTGGTAGGGGTTGGAACAGACCTCTGGAGAACATCTCGTCCAACTCCCCCTGCTAAAGCAAGATCATCCTGAGCAGCTTGCCCAGGATGGCATCCGGACATGTTTGGAGTCTCTCCAGAGGAGACTCCACAACCTTCCTGGGCAGCCTGCTCCAGGACTCCATCACCCTCACAGGAACTAAAATTTTCCTCGTGTTTAGGTCCAAATAGGCTCTGTGGATACCAGAACCGCAGCAGAACCAAAAAGGCAGAACCAAACAACACTGAATCAGGGCTAAAAATGCTGCCACTGGAAGAGAGCTGGACCATTCTCCATTTTACAGCACTACCTGCATTTAGATGGTGGCTTGTTGCTGGAAGTCCAAGGACCCAGCAGTACTTGACTGATGTGTATAAAACATGTATGCAGGATCTCAGGAAAAAAAAAAAAAAAAGATAACCGTGATCTAACCATGGGATATTATAAGATTTATGGTGTACCTTTGCTACAAATGACCACGAGGTGTTGTTGGCCAGCTTCTGCAGTCCTAGGCACTCCGTTTCTTTCTCCTTTTTCTACTGGAAAGACACAAGGCAGCACTCACAGGAATTTTGGAGATTTTACAGGTCCTATCTCAAGCTCTTTAAGCAGGATCTCTGTAGGGCCTCATTCTGTCACCAAGTTTGGTGTTGATCAGGCTGGCAGAAGGCAGGGGCTGTGCCACAGTGAGTAAGCTGATGACAGACAGCTGGATGCTGGTAACAGGCATTTCAGTACTTCACAAAACAAGGTGAAGCCTGGAAGATGGATACAACTCAGCAACTCACAAGAGTGAGTGGGCCAGTGGGCTTCAGAAAAAGCAGGAGAAGAAATGCAGCTGTGTTGTCATCTCTTTGGACTCCAAGAAGATGTCCAAGACCTAGGTACTAAAATTTACTTTTAGGGTCTCTACTGATGCTTCACAAAGCACCAGCCACTTCTGTACCACCGAAACCTACTGTGAGGTTCTCGCTCTTACTTTTATGCAAGTAATAAGTACTTTTTCTGTTTCAAAATAAATTTGTCACTGTGCTTTTCCTACAAATGGACACAATCTAAAAAATTTTAGAAATGGATGCTGATACACACAACTAACATCTCTGGCTGGGAGGTGTGAAAGACTCAGATCTGAGTAATCAGCCATCTTCATGGGCTGCTACTGACCCCAGAATAGGATATATGTTACCAACACACAGTGATTTTCTTCTGAACCACCCCCTGCAAAAACAACAAACAAACAAAGAAACAGAGCGTTAGAGTGTTAATATTTAATTTCCTGTGCTAAACTGACTTAGATTTAGCAACAACTAACCGACACCTTTTTGGCACTTTCTGGAGACAGAAGCTTCCCAGATAATGAAAAAGGTAGATGGTGATTACTCAGCCGGTAGAGTGCCCAAGGAACAGGAATCCTCAGCATTAATGTGGTTTCATTACATTTACAGTATAATTAAGTTAGGGCAACAGGAGTTTGGAAGGCATCTTTATGGTCTTAACCATAAATTAATAAACAAACATAATGTGATTTTCTCAACTGTGAAGACAAAAAAAAAAAAAAAAAAAAAAAAAAAAAAAAAAAAGTGAAGGCAGTAAAGGGGTAAGGACACAACAAATGAACCTTTTTTGTTACAAACCAAGAGAAAGACAAACTTGCCACCCTGCTGCCTCATGACCTCACGTGTAATTTCTGTAATTCTTTCAACACTGTTTTGCAAATCAATAGAGCTGGCTCAGTGTTTTATTTAATTCCTTTAGTAGACATGTTCTTATTCAGAGTGCAGGAGTTAGCAAGAGTTCACTTGTGTAAGTGTTGAGCAATCTTACTCTTCATCATTGCCTGTGGAAACAATATTTGGGTTTGTCAGACCTCATCTTTAAAATCTTAGGAACAACACATGATTACACATGCTTGCTAGTTTTGCTGTATCATACTTTTAATCTTTTTTTTTTTCTCCCACTACAAAATGTGGCAATACTGTTACATCACTGGGGTCTAAGTCACAGAAGTCTCCCCCTTCTATCATTAAGTTGTCCCATGGAAACTCTGCCTTCCAAACTCTTCAAATTATGTCACCCTTTCCACTGACCACTGATTCCTCACACAAGGTCACACATTTGTCACTTATAAATCAACATGAATAACGTGGGGTCCAGAAGGCATACAGCCAAAGCAGGAGACCTGTCCTCAGGAATTTTTGACTGAGCTGGCATGGAGCAAAGGCAGGTGACTTGATACTTTCTGGTTGCTAGGACTATTCACAGTTTCACTAAACAGTCAAAAAAGTAGATTTTTTTTTCCAGTTTTGAAAAGTTTGCCCTGACATTCTAAGAAATAATCCAAGAAATTCTTATTTTCAAATGATAACTCTCTCTCTATTTTTTTTTAATAAATATCTGGTCTACACAATTCAGGTGCTCAGCTGATACTGATTCATATGGCTCTGAGATAAACCACTGATACATTCCAAATTATTGTGCCTTCAACCTATTTTTATTTCTTGAGATAATAAACTCTTCTGATAAAACTGGCCCTATTCTGACACCAGTCTGAAAGTGGATTAGCATTCCACCAGATTACCAACACCCAGCATTTTCTAGCTACTTCACTGGTTCAGGGAGAATATCCAACATTACTTTCATTGCACTTACGTTCGGATCTTGCCTAAAGAATGGGAAGCATTTTAAAGTAACCAGCACAGATTTTCAGTCAATATATGAGGGAATTTCAGAAACCAAGCTGATTCCCACCTATTTTCATGTAGATATACAGAGCCAGACAGCAGATGACTCACTGTAAGACAGAATTATAGAAAATAGACCCTGCATTAACAGTGTGCATGCATGTTTTCCAATTGAAGGTACATTCTACCTTGGAAGGAAAAGCTATGTGAAGACAGCTATTTTTAAAGCTGCAAGCTATCAGAGTAGCTTTTGCTGTGTCACTGCCATTTAAGATAACTCCTTGCAGCTAGATAGATTGTTGAGAAGCAAAACCCACAAAGTGAAAGTAGCATATAAGGACAGTAACATTCTTCAGGAATGTCAGGCTTCCTACTAGAAGTTTCTATATATTTACTTTTCAAAACTCCTTTGTGCTGGAATTAAGTGCTTGTGATGGGTCGTGACATAGAAGAATCCATAAAAAGTGCTCTCAAAACAAAGCAAAGATCCCAAACAAGGACAGTTTATTGAAATGCAAGCTTTTTCTGTAACAGTCATGCTATGATGCAGAAGGATGTGTTGGGAAATAAAAAAGACAGTTTATCTTTTTTGCCTGTGCCATTGGCTCCCAGCCCAAGATGGTTGTGAGGAGTGAAGATGGCCAAGAAGCGTGACAGGGCCTTTTGTGCTATGGACACAGTGATCCTCAAACTAATGGATGAAAGGCAATAAAACCATACAAAGAGGTCTCAAAGTACTAAGCAAATAGTAGTAAGTCTGGGCCAACATCAGCCTGGTCCAAATTCAAATTGGCAACACAGAAATGAAAATGAGTAGATTGTGTTTCCATCCCCTCTAGCTACACTACCTGGAGTCAATGCTAA